TTAACCAAAACTATACTGTTTCTTTTCAGAATTGCATTTTTACCAAATACTTACTTGTTCACAGCCCTGATAAAAATAGTAAAATGGTGCAAAAGCACATAAAGATCTATACTCAGTGAGTAGTAAAGAATGATTTACTTGAACAAAGCGCACATCAAATGGTGAAGGCTCTGTCTGTGGTTCAAAATTTTTTCTGTTTCCATGAAAGACTTGGGAGGGTGCAGTGAACTGCATTTACTGAATGTGCAGATGGCATGAAGCTGGAAGAATCACACTGGAGACCAGGATGTTTCTCGAAATGTTATATGGTCACAAAAGAAGTCAAACATCATGCTGAGCTGGCAGAACCACCTGTAAAATGCAGGAAGATGTCCTTTCACTCTCCTCCACACTGCTGAACCCCCCAGCTGTAGGTCTAGCACTGCACTGTGAGGAAGATGAGATCCAGTTGAAGAAAAGTGCCATAAGTGCATGAACATAAATTGGGAAAACCCTGGGATGAAAAAACTAGCAAAGCTCCAGAACGAAAAACTGAATGGGGTTAAGGTTGTTTAGTCTAGGGAGAAAAAGACTAGAGGAGAGGTGATAACGTCCTCCAGATATGTAAAAGGCTGCGGCAAATTAAAACAGAGTGCTACTGTTTTCTCTGTGGTGGATAGTATGAAATGAAAAGAGTTTGCATTGTTTCTTAGGTTAAACCAACTTACCTGATAAACATGGACAAACTTGAGGGCATATAAAGCTTTATTAAGCGGTGAGTAGGACCAGGTTTGCTCCAACACTACTCCTAAGGATGGCATTTTAGCACAGCGGCATTTTGGCACCATCTTGGCACAACAGCAGCTTGTTCAGGCTGCAGGATTCCTTTGTCCTTGGGTATTTTTTGAGAAGAGATTTGGCAAAAATTATTCAGCATTTACGGCTCTGAGTTAGACCAGCTTTTCCAACTGTGTAAGTGCCAGTGCTGTAGGTCTTTTCTGAAGACTTTGGCCCAAACCCTCAAAAAGTTCATCTCCATCTGCTTAGATGCCCAGGTTGAACACTTAAGCAACACCTAAAAAGCTGCTCAGCTGCCCCTCAATTCTGTAATCCCCTACAGGCCTGTGGGTGGGCACGGGCGCTTTATCCCACAGTTCCAGCTTGTTGTGTCAAGCTATGAGAGGGGTCTCACACCGGGTATTCTGCTTTGCTACCAGGTCCCTGCTTCATGAACAGCAAATGTATAAACCGGAGGAAATGCCCCCTCACACTGTATCTGGACTATCACCACAGACTGGCTGAGGAGTTAAGGGTCTCAGCTGTGATGTGACAGACACTGACTGGCTCAAATCTGTGTTCTTCCCCTGACTAGAGACACGAACAGGAACTTCAGTCTCTGGTATCCTGGGGTGACTCCTCTAATACGTGGCATTTTTCTCTGCCTAACAAATAATCAAGCTGATACCAAAACCGGAGACTTCTTCATGTTATTTCAGCTGGTTCAGTAAATAATATGCACAGAAATAACATTGTGTAAAACCTATGGGAAGATTTAAAAACACATCTTAATGAAATTAGCTCAGTTCGAGTCACCTCTCCAGCCAATATGAGCTGGAGATTCTGCAGGGCACTATATTTCAAAAAAGAGATTAAAGGAGCATTGCAATATGGTTATGCTCCTTTATGCCTCACTGAAGTCTGCCAGGCTCCCAGTAAAAGAACTGTGGCAAACTCACTGAACTCCGGCATGCAGGGTCAGGCTTTTTTAAAAAACCATAATCTTTGCAGTTTTCTAGAATTCATGTGGAATTAATTTAACTGCTTAACAGTTTTATATTGCCAGATGCAATTAAGAAGCTTTTTCTCATTTTTTCACCATCTTATTTAGGAGATTAAGATCCAGATCGTCTATCCTTGCAGTTATGCTTAAAAATAAATAAAAATACTACAAGACTATCCACAATCAGCACAGGAAAAGCAGTTGCTCGGGATCTTATTTGCCAGTACACAATTTAAAACCACAACTAATAATCTTCACAGATTCAGGTACATTTCTTTGGCTTTTTTTACTAAAATGAACATATACAAGAGTGAAATACATCCTGGATTACAAATATATACTAGAGTACAATGCTGTTGTAAGTAAACTCTTAATTGAAAGTTGGACTTGTTCTTTATACACAGTTTTAAAACCATTATTACATGCTTTAGAAAAGCAAATCCAAGCAATACAACAGTAACCCAGTAAACAGTAAGCTTTTAGCAGCAGAACATTTGCTTATTTCCCCAGCTCTTGAAGACTTCATTATTTTACTATTGCAAGACCAATTTATGCTGATGACATTTTATCATATATCAGTTTGTTACTTACAGCCACATGCCTAAGTCTGGTGTAAGTAGAGACAATAAGAATTTTACCAGAGAAAAGCTCTTGTATTTGATGCTGGATATATCAACATAAGAAATTGGTCTGGAGATCTGCTTTTGCAGTTAGTTTCCATGTGTAATGATGGTAGTTATGTTGTGGAACTCCTGTACTGTTCATCAAAATTAACTTGCTCTTCATCTTTTAATAGCATTTAATTTTCTGCTGTCATTACAGTATTAGATCTACAGACATCAATTCTCACCAGATAATTAACTGCACATTTTCACTTTTTGTTCTTAAGTGGTTTTGTTCTGTTGCTTACTCTGGTCATTAGCTGTATCCCCAAATTTGCATCAGAGGCAGCTCATTTTTCCACTTGGTTAGCTAAAGAAACCTGTATATGTTATTTCTCTTGAAATAACATACAGAATTGGTCTTTGCAAGTATCTGATACAATTCTCCTGAAGAATTTAAATGCTCAGTAACAGAAGCTGCTGCAAGAGAAGCTGAAGCAAATAAAGCGGAATAGTTGCTTAATTCATTATCAAGCATGGAAAAAAAAACACCTTAATGTAAATACATATGTAAACATGTCCAGAGGAGTTAAAAAAAAACCTTAGCTGTCCAAGTCCCTGGAATCAACAGGAGCCTGTCACCAAATTATTTTGGAAATCCTGCCTTAAATTTTATTCACAGAAAAGCTGTTTTTACTACATAGAATCAAGTAGGATATTGCTCTGTTGTCTTCATCATGTCATACATTTGAATTTTGGTAACAGCCTCTGACTCAGCTTGGTCCTCAGCAGTTTTCAGTAGCTCCAAGCCCTCCCTTGTAATCCGTTAATAATACATCAGGGATGGGTGCTTCTGCCTTCTCCTCTTCTCTTTGAACTCAGGAAAGTGAGATTCTTGCCTGCCCTAAAAGAGACTTTGCTGCTGCGTGCTCTCTGTGGCAGATCTGTCAACTGCAGAGAAATGATCCTCAGACAACTGGATAAACCAGATATTGACACTGGCAGAGCATGTGACTGGAGTTAAGGTCAGAGATTCAAAGACTGTAGGATGGGGGCCTTAAAGTTTTGTGCACAGGATTACCCCGTGTGCTGCATATTGCTGGCTTCAAGCAAGACACCTCAGAAGTTAAAGGTGTACTTAATTCTCTGTGGCACCAGGCCCTGATAATCCTGTAAGCACATGCTAATAGGGTTTCACCAGATTTACTGTCTTTTCATTCCCTCATCCAGAAATTAAATACAGAAAATAATTACTTAACTCGCTAATTATACGGCAAAAAACCCCAAACAGTTTTTACACAGACTGAAGAATGTTAAGATGAGCTCCAACATCCTGCCAGGCCTGATCCGATACTCTATTATTTATGTCACCATATCCTGATGGAGATTAAAACAGATTAAAAAACTGCCTGATTCTCATGGTCACCAGAGCTATGCAGAGTTAGTACTGAAAAATAATTCAGAGTCTAAATGCTCTCTCTTGTTTAAGTTTATACCCTAAGAATTAAATCCACCTTCTCACAAAGAACCAAAAATAACGACAATTCCATCTAAACTGCATGTTAAAAGTGCAGAAGGTTCTACTGATCTGGTGCTCCTTCTTTTCACAGGGTTGAAGCACACCTTTAATCCCTGCAGCTGCTGAATCTCACTTTATAATTTTATTTTACCATATACTAAATTACTTTTCAGTACTTACAGCAAAAAGTTTTATTGTTTTAATCTGCAGCTTTACATTAAGCATGTTATGATTGCAAAGTATGTAAAACATATTTGCAGTACAGCTCATCAAGACAATATTGAAGACTCTGTTTTGGTCAGTTTTCAGTTAATATTATATATTCTTAAAATATATACCTAAAGAGGAGTACCTGTGAAAGAGAAGCTAAAAGAAGGCCATTTATTTAGACAGCAGAGACAGGGAAAACCACAGTTTTCCAAGGAGTGAGCATCTAGTGTAATATTTACAACAACGCCACTCTGATTTACTAATGCCATTTTTGCAGCGGCTCTCTGAAGGACCAAGAATCATAACCAAATGTTATTGGCAGAAATCTTCAAGAAAAGTGTGTGTTAAGAATTTTCCAAAATGAAATTTAAAAATATACAAATGCCAATGTTAACACTAGAAGTGCTTCACACCCAGGTAGGCCCAGCAGAGCAAATACTTTTCTGCATTTATGTCAGTCGGCCGTTCTTCAGCAAAGCACAGATGCTCCTTTAAGCACGTACATAATGGCTTTAAGGAATGAGACCTTTAATCAGAAAGAAGCAAATGTTTTGGTAACAGTAACACGTGGCAAAACTTACCTACCACAGTGACACAGTGCAGCCTGAATGAAGTTCAAGTATGTGGGACTTTCTATAACCCTAAACATCTTCCAACAACTAGTCAGAGCAATAGCAGGATATCATCCACTTCTAAGCAAAATGGTAGTAACTTTTCATTGGGAGTGATATTTTTTCTAACATCCCTATCATGATTTCTTCCAAGCATTCATGTGCACTTGAAAATTGATGTCTTGCTATACTATCTGCTTGACAGCTATATCATCCATGGCTAAATCACACTGTATTAGATCAGACACAGCTAAACAGATGATTTCCTCCTAATTAACAAAAGACTGATAAAACCAGAATTAGTTTTTGTTAAATTTATTGCTGTTTTCATCCTGTCGCTTTAGCCTCTTTGCATCTTCTCCTTTAAGCTGTTTCTTCCTTTTTTCAGCCTTTGCAGCTTGCTCCTTCCTGTCTTGGTTTTCCTGCATTCAGACAGAACAACAAATAAAAAAAAAAAATAAGAACAGTTACTGAAGGAAAAGCTGCTTAAGACACTCTCAGTTTGCAATGAACAGCTATTCTGAATATGCCCTGTGCACACTTATAATTCCGCTGCGCGGGGGTTGGGGGTAAATGGCAGAACAGAGCTTCCTGGTCAATCCCTTTGGCCTTCTCCATGTGATGATGTTACCAGCAAACCATTTCATTAGCTTTAACTGCAATGTTTGACTATGGACTGAAATGCATTCTTCTTAATTTGTCCCTCTGTCCACAAAACAAAACATTAGTTTAACTTAATTAGCATTCTAGAAGTTTATCTCATCGCAACCTTGATTTTATATTGTTTGTATTCAGGGACTTCTACCAGAAATTTCAGGAACTCTTCAACTGTGTTAAACTGCAACTCACAGTTTCTCTTCAGGCCCTCGTTAAATTTTCCAGCTGTATTTCTGCACTAGTGTTCAGTGGCAGAGTCCAAGCTGGATGTCTGTTGGTACCAGCCATACAACTGCCAGGATGGCACAAATCCTGTTGGGATTTACACAGACAGGCAGGACTCTGGTTTCCACAGAGCTGCTGGTACTGGGATGATAAGATCCATGGAGGACGAGAAAGAAATTAAACGATTACTCCTAGTAAAGGAAGACCATTACTCAGTGGAAGTGTATTAATGGGTTTTGATAAGCAGCACAATCGTAGGAAAGGGTAGTTGTGAACAAGTGGGATAACTGTAGCAGAACATCAAGATGACAAAAGCCATTTTCTTAAAAGCTTATGCAGTCCTTCTTCCAGAGCAGCAATCATCAGAAGCTTGCCTGGAAGCTTGCCTGCTTTGGGTTGCAACCAGTCAGTAGCTAATCTACGTGCTGTAGGTAGATCCGTAGTTATTTGGCTTGCTGTCATAGAGATCTGTGATGCTAAGAGGAGGGTGCTGCTGTGTCATATTACAAAATGTAATAATGTCCAGGAAGATGTTGATGATTTGGTGCACTTAGGATTCTTGATAAGACATGTCTGGTCTACTCTGCAGAGAGTCTGGCAGCAGAAAAGACATTTTCCCATTATAGTGATAGATTATTTGGCTGATTGCTATGGGTCATCTGCCACTACTTCCATAAAATGGGATGAAGATATCCCAGGAAACATGCACAAGTTTCTCAGAACATTTATAGAAATTAAAAGCCTAGGATCCTTTGGTCCAAAGAAATTCCCAGACAAATAAAGAAAACTTGTGAATATTAATAGAGTTAGTCTCTCTGAAATATAGGAGCACTACAGACTCAAGGTTATGGGGGCCTTCACTGAATGCCTAGAAAAGGAGAGAAAAATGGTGTACTCTTGACAAAGAAAGAAAAGGCTGTATTTGCCCTGAATGGAGGGTGCTGCTGAAAAACGAGGTACAGGTGGTAAAGTCTTATGGAGGGGCTAAAAGCCCTTCATCACTGTATACCTTCCTAGGTGCTTGCCTGATAAATTCCTTCTGTGTCTTAACATAATGTCGCTGAGATATTATGGCTGTTGAGAGACTTGCAGAGCTGTGGGCCCTGGAAGAATGTCTCATGTAACATGCCACAAGAAATAAAGGGGGTGAATTCAGGGAAACATTGTCCTGCTACTTGAACAGCACACACGCAGTACCGAGAACAAAGTGAAACACATTGGGAATGAATTTATGGATTGAGCAAAGCTGAACTCTGTTGTTCAGAGAAAGTAAAAAACCCCCACAATTTAACAATTCAATGCAAACACACTGTTAACAGAGTTTCTTCAACATAAGAAAGCCCAACAGGTAAAGTGGTAGCAAAGTAGAGGAATGAATAGTCACAATCCCTTCTCCATCTACTGGATTAGTGAAGGCAGCTGTATGGATGAGATTATATGAAAGAAGGGTGTCACTTTGGATTTGCAATTGTGGGACTTTAGATACTTGCTTGATCTTTGCATTAAAAGATGCTCCATGACAACTGTTTATTCCTACACTACCTAAAGCACATCCTGTTCCAACACGATACGCACCCTAGTGAGGAGCAGCTGCTCCAGCTTGGTTATTCGAGGGGAGCACTCAGCGCACTATCCCTGCGCAGAGCTGTCTGTATAACCTCTGTCATCAACTGAGCACGTCCTAGAGCAGATTTTGTTTAACATATTTCCTCCTTTTTCTGAGATTAGACAGCCTTTTTGTTGGGTGCTCCCCTCTTTGAACAGCTGCAAGTACTAAGGGAAATCAAATGTTTCTCCCAATCCCCTATAATCATACAGTGTTTTTTTTCCCTGCAATTTTACAACTGGGTTCTCAGTGTATCTCCAATTCCGTTTTGTTTTTTGTTTTTTTGTTTTTTTGTGGTTTTTTAATCTGTGAGCTGGGAAGCTATTTTCTTCCTGTCTCCTTCCTCCTGCCATCTGCTCCTTTTATTTTTTGAGAGTTGGTGAAACAGTCATCAGCCCTGGGTGACAAACCAGCTCCTTTTCACTGTGTCAGTTCTGGGGATCATTTGGAAAGCTTTTTTTTTTTTTTCCCACCTCTTCAAGTAGAGGAAGAGGGCAGATTCTTATTATAGTAATTTAATTTGTGTAGCTCAGTTTTTGTTACCTGAAGGATAAGAACAGAAAGAACCCTCAGGGAATGGAGAAGGATTTTGTTTAAACAAAGAAGTAACAAAACCAAAATCTCTCTAGGTAAGCTTAGGAGCCATGAAGGATCACTATTTATTAAAATTATTTCCCTTCTTATTTGATGTGAGAATGGAAAGATAGCACTAACAATTTTGGTAGTGCTAAGAGACCTGATTTACACAGAAGACTCATCTCAACATAGAAGTTACACCTTGGCCTTAAAGCTTATGTCAAATGGCACTGGAAAGAGATGATGCATGTGACCGATTCTAGTGTAAAAATCAAAATCACAGGACAAAAAGATACTTTAAAAATTAAAACCTTCAACTTCTCAGCATGTTGCTGTTTCAAGCACAGGCAGTATCTTTACTACAGTGAAAGGGAGAAAGCAAGGCAAGAAAGGAGAGATTACATTACAGGTCTGCAGTGGAGGTAACAGAGATGCATACAATGGGCCTAACAGCTGTGGTGCCTTTGAGGCGAGGTGCTACTGAGAAATGCAACCAAAAATAGGGTGAAAGGGAGTTTACATGTTGGGTAGATAAAAAGAAGGTTCTTTCTAGTTGCTCCAACCTGGCTGCGAATAAGCAGCACCCAAAAAAGTAGTTTAAATCTTCTGCAGCAGTACTAGGATGCTACATAACCTTTTCTGGAACTGTTTCTTAAAAGAACTGCAGTTGCTGGACTTAGCCTTCACAGCAGTTTTCCAGTATAGCTCTCCACAGATGCTGAGCCATGAGGTTCTTGACTCTCTTGATTCTTTCCTTCCTACCTGAAGTTTTAGGAACTCTAAGGATCAAGTGCATTGCCAAAGGATCTGTGGTTTGTAGGGTTTATTTTCCAGACTGTCTGTGGCGCTGTCTCATAGTTTCAGAGCCTGGGTAGTTGTATTGCTTGCAAAATTGAAGCCCAGTGCCTCACAAGAAAAGGAGGCAGTGGGAACATTACAGGATATATTTTTCATCTTTCATCTTCCAACACTTCCTCAGAAGCTCATAACACACTCCTTCAGCCTCTCTTGCCTCGACACTGCCCAGCACAGCTGTCTGTATGCTTGCAATGCTTCTTGCAATGTGGACGATTCCCCCTATAGAAGGGCAAATCCAGCCTGGGGCTCTCCTGGAGTCAGCACAGGAGTGGGTGACTCCGGCTGTTAAAATTTATAAATGTGAAGCCACTATTATCTGACACTAAGAAAACCCTAGAGGAAGTACATTAGTTCAGGCATGAAGTATGTAGTAGCGGATGCAAAATGGAGGTTTACTGGAGGCTTACTAATTGTTAGGAGACCTACACAACTTTTATGATGAAGTTGCTGTTTTCTTACTCCTAATTGCAAGGAGTAAAGTCTTATAAATTAATAAAGTGCCAAATATGATCTCCTGGGAGATTTGTAGTTTTGTAGAGGACAAAAGCCATACTGTTTTGAACTAACTAGTACAATGAAATACCTACATGTAAACATATTTTTCAATTAGGCTTTGCCTATTGGCAAATTTACCTTTTGCCTATTGGCAAAGCCTATAAATCAGGTCTGGTTGCTCATTCTTTCACATGCCACTAAGCTCCTATTGCACTGAGGCCTGATTAATAGTTTTACAGTGGGAACAACAACTTGGAGGGTTCTTAGCTCTCCACAGCACACAAAAAAAAAAAAAATCACATTTTATATTTGCCCACATGAGCATTTCTTGCTGCAGGTTGCAAGAAAATAAAGTTACTTTCATTTACTTCCACAGCCAGGGTTTAGGTAGCCCATCTTGGAGTAGAAGAAAAAAGAAATTCTTGCTTGCTTAAAAAAAAATAAAAAGTTCTTAATGTACTTTAAACAGTCACAAATGCAAACCACCTGTAAGGCCTTGAGGAAGAGCTCTCTGAAGGTTTTCATTGTGCTAAATATATCTTCCAAAGAAAAATTTTTTCGGTCTTCACAAAGGTAATCAGCAAGTTCTTCCTTTTTCTTTTCAATGGTGGCAAACTCCTCCTGCAGGTCCCTCGAAGCACTGAGACTGTCCTGAGACACAGTTTGCAACACAATTTATGCATAGTAAGTAGCAGCATATTCTTAGCTGCCCAGAAGACTCAAGCCAGTTAACACAGAGCAGTCAGATTTTAAAAAACTGACAATTAAGATTGGTTCATCATGTGTGATATTTTCTTCTTAACTGAACCATGTGCATTTCCCCTGGTTTCACCTGGCCCAAAGCAGCTCATTGTACGCTGCCACTTTCATCATCCAGCCATGTGGAAATTCGGCAAAACCTGGGATGACTGATCAAGGGAGGGTAGGACGTTTGGAAATATGTGCAAAAAAAAAAAAAAAAAAAGCATCCATATTGCAAATCTGTTAACTTTTTTTTCCCCACAGAACAGCAAGACAAAACATGATTCTGTACTGCACTGTATGCATTTATAGTTGCGTCCTACATTTCATTTTTAGGGTCTTCCTTTCTTTTGCCCACACACAAATCTGACTTGTCCTCAGCTGTTCCCTTATCACAATACCACATTACAGAAGCAGAGGGAAATTTGGAATGCCCCTTCGACCATGGTGCAAGGGGGAGTGTACTTATGACCCCTTTCCCATAGAGCTCTATGCCCAGTTGCAACCTGAATTACAGTGCCTTTGAGAAGAGTTTTAAAATGTTTAGGAGGGATGGGAAGTGTGCTACACCCAAATTACCTACTTGAACAAATTTTGCATGCTTCATTCTTAAACTGTCTGTCGACAAAAATAAACGCTTCTCTATTTCCAACAGCGTCTTCAAATTGGCACCTGTCTCAGCCTGCATATCGTTAAAGTGGATTCTGAAAGGTCCACAAAAGGAACAGTACATTGAAGGGGTAAGTACTTTGTTTTCATTAAGTTAAAAGATTATTATAATATTAAAGAATATAAAGAATATAAAAGAATGTTATAATAATGCAAATGAATGTAGAATTAATTGTCCAACCCAGACCCTGCTTTTGCAGGTAGTTCTCCTCTATATAAATGCTACTTTATGTGCTCAAACCCTCATCTAAAAAAGAATCTGTGCTTTTGCCCTCACTACCTCCCCAGACAGACTGTGGAAGAACCTGACCATTCTAGCATTCAAAAAACTCCTCCAAAATTTCCAGCCTATTTTTATTCATAGGCAATACATGCTTATGTCCCTTCTGCCAATACTGTCTTTACTTAGCTGGTTCTTTTCCCTCCTTGCCTTTTCTCCCTGCACTCTTAGTCCAAAATTGTATCACTTCTCAGAGTTCATTTAGCTTACATGGAGACCCAAACATGTTACACTCCTGAACCAACATCTTCTGTGGTTCTGACCTACTCTTTGTGCCAGACAAAAAACACTGAATCAGCAAAACCTGATGTGGTGTTTCATTGTGCATCCAGATGTGAGCAGCACTAGAGGAGTCCCTTGCAGGATCTGCACTGTAAACAGTTCTCTACAGGTGGATTAGCAAATAAATTTTGTTAATTTGAGAGTTTGACTAAACTAGATGACAATTACTTTATAAAAAAGAGCACATTTATATCAGTGACCAGCAAGATTTAGTTTCAGGTAACGAAAGTATTTCTAGTATGACACAACCCAAAAAAATGAATGTTTCAAAACAACCTCCAGTTTAAATTCTGCACAGATAACTCACAAAAGCCATAATATTTTATGTTGCATTACTTGATAAAAATACTTTTAAAAACTATCTAGCAGCTATTTAACAAATGTCAATCCCTCTCCAGATTTAAGTTATACCCTTGCTTCAAGTTACAAGAAAATGTAAAACACCTCAAGGTTCCCATGAATTCATAACAGGATTAAAAAATGGTAATCCTGGTGCTATAGGCTTGGATTCTGATTAGTGTAATTTAACATCTATGTGACTCTTCCGAGCTAAACAGAAAGCACTGGCATTGGACTCATGAGGCTTTCAGGCACATGGGGGAAAGTCTGCAGAAACAGATCTTCCCTTTCTACCCACATATATTAGAAGCTTGCATTGATACTCAACTCAGGGACTCCTGAGGTCCCCCAATTGCCAGTAAATCTCCCCAGTCATTCCCTCCTAACACCAGCTCTGTGCATGTACGTCCTGATGGGCTTGCATATGCATACGACTGAGAAATTTCAGGGAAGATATATTTCTATAGCAATATGTGGAAAAAAAATCTGGTCCTTGAAAATAAGGGAGTTCAATATTTACACAGTTTTACTTCTGAGGTAGTACTGGCTTGTCTGAAAGAAAAATCACACTGAGCTCCACATAAAGAGTCTCAACTGGGTTGATTTATAAATCTCAACACTGTTTGGTGTTAGAAGGGAACCTCTCTCTCCCACAGTAAAGAAGTCCTGTGACCTTATTACACCACCATAAAATGACTCAGCTCCTTGTTGGCTTTAAAGAGGTTGGCAATTCATACATGACAAAAACAAATAATGTCCTACCCTGCTGCCTTGGAAACAAAGTCAAGATCTCTGGGAAGCTGCAGCAGATCTGTGTGGTTTTTTTCAACCTCCTAAAATTGAAATGAAAAATGGTTACCTTGCACGGTCAGTCAAAGAGTATGAAAGTTTGCTAGCTGGAAAACATCAGGACTGAAAAATTAACACTTCAGTTTTCATTCTTATAAGCGTAGAGGTAAATTTAGTCTCATTCATGTTTTTTCTCATGTGGCACCCATAGGGAGCTAAAAAGAAAGTAAAAGGCTCTTATAACTGCTCAGGCTTACATCCCATGTGCCTCCACAGTGCACAAACTGACCTGAGATTTTGTCTTCATACCACTAATTTAATTTGACAGATGCCTTTGAGAGACATGTCAACAAAAGAGAGCAGTTGGAGAAGAGAAAGAAAACAGCAAGCAGATATGTTAAGCAAACTTGAGAAAGGACACTTAGTGTTAACTCTCTAAACATTACTGCATATGGATTTGATCTCATCTGCACAGAGAGCAGTGAAAAGTTTTCATTGTATTTCAGGCACAGAGTCTTACCCTCCAGATGCCTACGGTGGAGTGCTACTGAGTCAAAGCCCCTTAGTTTCTGAGGAATGTATATTTGAGAATAATGCACTCAGGAATAATTTTACAGTTTTGCTGTACCTCCAAAATATGATGAAGCAGAGTAATGTGGCTTTGGTTTCCTTTTGTTTCTGCTAGTCTGAGCAAGGTACTAATTTTAAAACCTCCAGCATTTCCAGTGTGATGGCCCTAGAAGATATAGAAAGTGTTCATTCCTTCAGTTTCCAAGTCTTGCATTTGTATTTTCTGTTATTTTTAGAAATATAGAATCAGAGAGTGGTTGGGGTCTGAAAAGACCTTAAATATCATCCAGTTCCAACCCCCCTGCCACAGGCAGGGACACTTTCCACTACATCAGGTTGCTCAAAGCCCTGTCCAACCTGGCCTCACCACGCTCATAATAAAAAATATCTTCCATAATCTAAACTAAATCTACCCTCTTTCAGTTAAAAACCGTTACCTTTCATCCTATCACTACACTCCCTGATAAAGAGTCCCTCCCCATCTTTCCTGTGGCCCCCTTTAAGCACTGGAAGGTGGCTGTAAGGTCTCCCCGGAGCCTTCTCTGCTCCAGGCTGAACAGCCCCAACTCTCTCAGCCTGGCCTCATAGGGGAGGCTCTCCAGCCCCCTGATCATCTTTGTGGCCTCCTCTGGAGCAGGTCCATGTCCTTCTTATACTGGGGGCCCCAGAGCTGGACCCAGCACTGCAGGTGGGGTCTCATGAGAGCAGAGTAGGGGGGGAGAATCCCTTCCCTAGACCTGCTGGCCACCCTTCTCTTGATGCAGCCCAGGACAAGGTTGGCTTTCTGGGCTGCGAGTGCACATTGCTGGATCACAATCAGCTTTCCATCCATCAACACCCCCAAGTCCTTCTCCTCAGGGCTGCTCTCAATCCACTCATCACCCAGCCTGGATTTGCACATGGGATTGCCTTGATCCATGTGCAGAACCTTGCACTTGGCCTTGTTGAACTTTATGAGGTTTGCCCAGGCCCACCTCTCCAACCTGTCAAGGTCCCTCTGGATGGCATCCCTGCCCTCCAGAGTGTCAACCACACCACACAGCTCGGGGTCATCGGCAAACTTGCTGAGGGTGCAATTAAAGCAATAGCAATTAAAGAAATCAGTTTACTTACATAGTTCAGAAAATTTCCAGCTTTAAGAACCAATTGGCAGAACACTGGCAGTCGGTGACTGGTAAGAAGTGCTGAAGAATAAAGAGGGAGACATTTTCAGTAAATTAAATTAAATGATCTGAAATAGGATTTTCTTTAGGTTTGGCAGTGGGGGTAACAAAATTCTCATCGAAGATTATGTCAAGCCATTGTTATGGAATTGGAAATATACCTGTACAGAAATAAATCAGCTGAATGGAAGTGGAATGAGTAAGTTTCTATTGTGGTCTCTTCGCTACAAATAGATAGAAAACTAGTTTTCCCATCAAGTTTGGAGTATAGATGTGTCATCCCTGAAGCTACTTCTGAGGGAGAACAGCATATGAGAGTGTATAAACTTGTGAAGGTCTATAGCCCCCATTTCCAGCACATAATTACTCTAGATTAAGAAAAGGGCTTTTTGCCTTGTTATCATTGTTACCGAGAGTGATACCCAGAAGCTGTGTGTTTTAGCAGGAGAATCTGGGGTAAGAATAAACTTGACAGAACTAGAACAGAAACACTGACCCATGCAGTGGGATGGAGATGACAGGGTGGACTGCAGAGAGCTGTTGATTGCAACACAGTGAAGAGTAACTAGAGTACTGACATCAGACAGCCAGGTATAGCCAAATTCTATGTGCAAAGATAAACAAAAGTTTTTCAGTTTAACTGTTCAACAGGAGGTCAACAACTCTCTAAAACTATTGAACTGGAGCTAGAAGCCAAGAGCAACTTAAAGAAAGAGCCAACTTAAACTAAAACCAAGGCTAATTTTGTATGGAGAGGGTTCCTGAAACAGTGGTAAACATCATCTGGGACATCTGTTTTGGGATCCAAGCCAGATTCTGGTACATCACTGTAACCTTCTCCACTGCTGAGCTAAGCTGGACTGCAACCAGTACGCATGAGGCAAAACTGGAAACCGATTCATTGTTATGGACAAAAATCTCCACTGCACACAAAAATTTAACATATATTCAAATATAATCTGGCATTGACATAAGGGAAATTTCCTCCTTCTCTGCAGAACCGCCGATAAAAGAGAGGTTTGTGTTATTCATGTCAACAGAAGCTCCACATCAGAGCAGAACAGCACAAATTGCAATTCTGCAGATTGAATTCTAGAATCAGGAATCTGCAGAATCATTTTGACATTCACTATATATTCAGCAATTAAAAGGTTATTTTTTATTAGATTATAGCATATGTTACCGCTGATACTATTCAAGTAGAAGAAGGGCTTCCTATGACTGAGCCTGGGCATAGGCACAACACTGATGTACTTACTTTCACAAGCTGTCTTGATGGATTGTGCTTTTGGCCACAGACACTCCAGCAGATTTTTTGTTTCCTCACAAATCAGCATACATTCAATCCGCAGCTCATAACTAAAAGAGATCAGTGGAAAAAAACCCAATAAACACCACAAAAACAAAACCCACAGGCCTGATTAATTGATTTGTGTTCAGTGAGAGAAACACCCATTTTAGGCAAAGCGCAGTACCAGCATTGTTATGTTCTCTTTAATGCTCTGACACAAGAAGTGGGTTATAAATAAATCAAACAGATATTTCCAAAGATGTCCTAGAAACAATTATCATCTCCTCTTTCAGAAAGCAATGTTGCACTGACATCTGGGAGTGACTTCCTTACATAATGAGGCCATAATTTTTTACAATTTCTGGGCAGCACTAGCCAGAATTTTTGTTTTTCCTTTTAACTTTCCAAATAGAAATTCAAAATGTGTTTTGCAGCGATGTTTGTTAATGATGCCATGATGCCTCACCATGGATTAATGTTTTGGAAGAACCATGAAAACATTTTCTGAAGTATTTTTAAACCTAGCTATAAGTTTGAGAAAATGAAAAGCCACATTTTTACCACAACATTTTCAGAAAAGTGTCTCTGCTTGTGGCATGGTAACTGATCAGATTTATGGAGGGCTACTGCTATGAATTATGACATATCACCATGTTTTTATTAACAGCATAAAGATTTCTCTGTGTGCTGTTACCTCGCCTGACTTGGTAAAAATGAGGGAGGTGGTAAAAGCACAGGCACTGCTGTGATTCACTCATGGGTTTGTGGGCTCTCTTTGGTAGACTGGAATTTCTAAACCAGGGGTGGAATGAATCAGCAGCCTGCTGGCAGGATTCAGTCTGCAACTTCATGCCATACAGACAGTCACTGTACAACAGTCAAGAGTTTTCTCATACCAAGGTTAATTTAACTGTAGTTTGCCAAAGGTGTCTGAAAGCCTCTTTGGCCTTTGGAAAGGAAAAGTTTCTGAAACCAGCTCTACAAATATCAATCAGATGGTTTATCCTGAAGACTGAATATCAGGAACATCTCTAGCACAGGAAACAGGCCTTAATTCTTATGGACAAATCATATAAGAACCACACTCATGGGTTGAAGACAAGGAAAATTTTGCTTACCAAGGAACTGCTAAGAGATGGAGATAAAACTGATCTGCATTTGCTAGTTCTGATTTTTCTTCATTGTAAGTTTTCAGGCTGTTTATCTAGTGGGGAATAAAACAGTAAAATAACCACACAAATATTTCTGGTTCCTATTGCTTCTTACAGGCATGAATCTGGCTTTTCTGAACTTGCTGTGTGCACAGGCAACATAAGTGAGGCAGATGAACAATAAATTCCACATATGAACTGGTTTGCAAAGGCAAACATAGCTTTTGTCCTGACTGGAAGGTCATCTGCATTTGTACAGAGTATATCTGCATAGCTTGCAGAGATTCAGCAAGCTATCGTGCATAGAAATCCAGCAATCCCTTTAAAAAGATGGGTCCTTTCCCTTTCTCCTCATTGTGAGCTGCTCAGAAAGTCTCTTTATTCACCTAACTCCACAAATGCTAATGGGCATCATCCAATTCAAATAATGGGAATAGAGAGCAGCACTTGGTCTGCTTGACTCCGTGTTGAGTCTCCCACTGTGCTGTTGCCTAACCTCTCTGTGAAGAAGCCAGACTGTTGCTGGGGCAGGCTTCCCACCACCCTGCCTTGGAAGGTCATTGACTGAGGTGGCGCAGGAGGATGTGGGATCCAGTCACAGTTTCTTGCTTTAGCAGTGCAAGTGTTTCAAGCTGAGCACAAAACACACGGAACTCCATCAGAATAACACACTTAATAGATACCTCATGGTCTTCAGGCAGCAGTTTAAGTAGCTGCTTCAGGATCTCAGCATCCAACTTGGACCTATCCCCTTCCTGAATCATGGCAACAATCTCTTCATTGGAGCTGCAGGAAAGAGAGAAGTGCTGTGGAACCATGGCATAGGGAGGAGTAACAGGAGAAACAGAAGAAATCCCAGTCACTCCTACAGTGCTAGCTGAGAAAATGAAGTAATTCTTACTATACTTGCCTCCCATTACATTTTGGATCTTAGTCCTCAGAAATACAGTGAAGAGATGAAAAAGCAAAATATTTTTTTAAGACTAAAGCAATATTCCTCATAATTTAGTTATGTTTTCTATGATTTGTTCATCTTTACACAACAAACCCTGAAGGATCTTCTTTTACTGTGGGTGTCCACTGTCACTAAGAAGAGATTAGTTTTTGCATTTCTCCACTGCTTGCAGCAAATCCAAGGCTAAAATCGATGGCTCTCCTCCTGTGGAAAAGTATTTATAAAGATGCCAGAAGCTTTACCCAAAATCCTTGCCTGAAACTTTGGCAGACATGTCTTTGAAATGAGTCCAGGCTTCTCTGATTTGGGCTCTGGAGCGCTCGGCTCCCTGCAGCCACCAGTGCTGATAGAGGCAGCACCCAGCTGCAGGGCAGCCTCATCCCTCATGAGTGCAAGCGGGGCTCAGCGCTGGTCCCACGGTCACTAGCTGCTCTCAGGAGAGCTTAACCACTGCCCAGGGAATCACACAGAGAGAGGAAATAGCAACTGGATTAGGCTATGCACAGCTCTTCCCCACTGAAAAGCAGTTTGCAATGGAAAAAGGATAAAATAAGATTTAAAATAATCCCTCTGACTGATGCTGATTTATTCTTAAACACAAAGGAACTTCTAGGATGAATTTCTTTTTGAAGCCCTCACAACATGGGCTATTGCACAAAGGGCAGGAAGAGAGCAGAACATCCATCTTCATCCTGTGATAGTTCCAGGGAATCTAAGAGTAAATATATTTTGCCCAAACTACTACAGATTCTTTTTTTTTTTTTTCCCTCCCTGTAAGAACTGTGACTTGGTAAATTTCCACTTGTTTAATTATAGAAACTGTTTCCTATTTATAGAAAAACTGCCCATAAAAACTATATACTATTTTGAACCTGTACCCCATAAGATGTCTCTTTAAAATCAATTAATTAACTTGAAACTTCCAATCAGGAATCTTCACTAATGGTTACTGCCAGCAGTTGATATTTATGTCAACAATAAGAAAGAAAAATATGTTTCTACATGATTTTGCGGTTGTTTATGAATATTGACTCTTTAGGAATCAGTGGTCCATTTTAGGTTTAATATCAGTTTGAGACATGACATTAATTGTCTGGAAAGAGACTGACACATGTCATCAGTTTAAAGAAAAAAAAATAAAATATTGACTCCTTGCTAAAAAAAGATAGTAGTTGTAAAGTATTTCTGCTAAATTTATTTAATGCCTGAATAAATGCACAGACACATCAAATAAGTAATTCAGACGGTACTCTCCAAGTCTTACCACTTAAATTGCTTCAGAAATATACTCAGAATTAAGTTTTTCTTTGGACTTATGAACGTGATCTGTGAAAAGAAAAAAACCAGTCAGCTATAAATACATTTACCTTTATTTTAACAGATATTTTAGAGCTTTTGTTTGTTGGTTGAGTGAGACTAAATCTTCTCTGGTAACAACATTATCAACAATCTTCATTGATCAAACTCAGAGCAATTTACAACAGTACATTAGATCTATTTTAGAGAGAAAAAGAGGCAAAGGCATAGAGAAGGAAATCGATTTGTCTAGAATTTGTAAGAATTTTGTAAGAATTAATACTGAAATTCCCATGCCTTCCCTCTCTCCAATGAAGACCTGTCTCAGCAGAGTTACTTCAACTTGTTTAATTCTAAACCTCTCCTGTGCTTTTTTTTTAGGTAAACTTAGGCAATGGATATAAAAATATTTCACCACTCCTTATTATAAATGACTGACAACAATAAAGAGTGCATAAGCTTTTCACTTCCAATAATTTTGCCAGGCTCTACAAAAAGCGAGCAAAGTACCTCTTTTGCTTTCTTTAATTTTGGCCCCATTTTCTCCTTAGGTACTGTTGCTGGGACAGAGAAAAGCAGCTCCAAGCTTTCATAGTCAGGCTCTACCAGCTCCTTGCTGCTGCTTGGTGTCACGGCCCACATGGAGCAGCTTTCTGGAAGAGAGTAACACTTTACGATGGACCACAGAAGTAGAAAAACACTTTCAAGGCAGCACAACTTGTGGAAAGGAAAACACTTTAGAGGATGAATGAAATATGATGCTCATTAGTCCTGGACAAATGTTAATTATTTAAGAGTGGCAGCTCCCACAGACAGCATCCCAAAGGTTTGAAGGCTAATTAAACCTGGAAAACTACTGCCACATTCGATTAACTGAACTGAAGGCAGCTGATGAACTTAATGGGCTGCTCCAAATACTTGTTGCTCTTACTGACCAGCTACACATTGCAGAACAGTGGTACCCAAACTGGGGATGTTGCGTCCAATTAGGTAAATATCTCTCTTTGCAAGAGATAAGGACTCCCAAGCCCAGCATTATTGCCAGAATCATCAGGATCCATCTGAATAACACATGGCACTTCAAAACATGAACTTGTCCACAACACTGGCATCTTTAACAAATGATCTCACCTCCTTTTCTCCAGGAGAGAATGCAACAGTAGCTCTGAAAACACTGGGGATGAATCTGAATTTGTATCTCTGCCTAAGAAAGCAGACTGTGGCTCAAATTAGGTTGGTTTTTTTTTGTTTTTTGTTTTTTTTTTTGTTTTTGTTTTTTTTACATGTGTGTTTATGTATTTTATCACAGCAGCAAGTTCTTACCCCCTGATGTCCACCTTTCTTGGTGACAAGCACAGTGGAGAACAACTATGAGATCTATGCTGTGTGAAATGAGTATTAAAAGCAGCAGCAGAAATGGAAACATGTTCACAGTCTCCTTGCGGAAGGTTGAATAGGACTCGCAAACTCCTTTGGCAGACCACACAGTAACCACAGACCTTAGTGTTATTTTGTGTGTGGGGGGAAACCCACACAAACTATGTGGCTGTGGTCAGTGTGAAATGAAGTTGGAGACTACGTCCTACCCTGAGGGTACATGTTCCCTAGCCCTACTGACAAGAGTTTTCAGCCTTGGATCTTGGCTGACTCCTCACCGTGCAAGAAAACAAACAAAAAAAAAAAAAAAAAAAAAAAAGTAAAAGTTTCAGCTGAGAAGACCCTCACCAGTGATGTGCCAGGAGTCCACTAGGAAGAACCACAGAGCACGACTATTCAACAGATCTTTCCACTCAACACAAGAGTGCTTTGCAAACCTTAGTTAGTGCAGATTCACAACATCACTTTAACAAGCAACAGAGACAGAGGTTAAGATAAAATAATTTGAGCAGCCACAGAGCCTCAGTTCAGTGTTTTCTCCAAACTACTCTTTCATCCATTTATCGGTGAAGGTCTGGCTCTCCATGTTTATTTACGATTATTATTTTTTTGTAGAATTACGAGTGAGCAGTGGGACCACCTGTGTGACCTGACTTACTGAGTCAAGGTCTAGCTCCCCAACATTAGCATTTTTGTTTGGATGCAAAGTAAATGAAGCAATCAGCCCAGTGTTACAAACAAGCACATACGTCTTGCCACGTCAGAGGGGAGCTTCTGCCAGTGAAACACCTTCATCTTCAAGGTTGGTGTCTTCTTAGGCTGGTGCTGTCCCCCATATCCACAAGCAAGATGATCGCACTCAGGATTACTGCATGGCTGGGGAGGTGGGAGAGATGGGGCATTTACACCAGGCACAGGAAAGTGTGCAGGAGGCACTTTATCCCCAGGGGGTAGAGGTGGAGGAGCTGGCAGCAGTGCTGGTGTGTCAGACTGTCCCTGAGAACATGAGGAAACACCTTGCTGGGAAGGTGACCCATTCTCCAGAGATTGCTGTGGCTTCCCAGAAAGGCCCGTTGTCGGAGAAAGGCTCAGGTCTGCACTGGGGTTGTCCTCTTCTAAGTCCATATCAACTTGAATGCACTGATTCACCTTTTGAACAGATCTTCTGGACACTCTTTTGTGGTGATTTGGGCACTGCTTACTGGATAGCAGGTACTCTGTGGCTTGCCCTGGTCCCATTTTCATGCTCTATAAGAGAACAAGGCATTGCATGGATTAGCAAAATTCCTCACAACTGCTGGCTACTCCTAACTCCCACAGAGAAAGGGAAGTAACAGTGACCTTCCCATTAAGGTTAACATCAGAAATATTTCTATCTGCTTTACAAGTATCATTTCATGGTAGTTTCAGCTGTGTGAGTCAGGAGGAAAGCAGTACTGCTGGCCATAAGGCTCCTTTTTGACTTCTCTTGATCCTCCTACCCTCCTGTAACATATAAAGAAATGAAGAGTAAGTGCTATCAGCATAATAAACCTCTACCTGGTTGCTTTTTTCCTCTTGTTGCTCAGCCATTCAGTGGGATTTTTCTTCTAGAGGGGTAAATAGATGTCTCCTACAGGTGCTCTACAGAGGTGACTTCTCAAACAGTAGGGACACAGTCACTTATTCCTGAGAAACCATGTTACCACAATTTATCTTGAGTGCAGAAGGGTGGGGATTTAGAGAGAAACTCTCAAAATAGCCTAATAAATTAAACAAGCTACAGCTGAGGAGCACTGAGGCTGAGCTGCTTAGGGACCTATGACCAGACAGGGAAATGACTGGTAAGCATTAAAATGATTAAGATGGTCTTACTTTGCCCTTCAACCAAATTCTAATCTAAGACAAATGTCTACATTTGCCCTGAGAGTATACAGGTTTCTCTCAGAGCCTCTTGTAAAAGACTATGTAGAAATATCCACCTTGTATGTATGCCCTATTTTAAACATGGAAGTGAGCCTACCAGGGTTAGTAGACTATTTGCTGGCTCAGGACTTGGTTTTGTTTGCTTGACTGAGCAAACCTTTCTCTTGCAAACACTTGCATCTCTTGTGGATGAGTAGTGTCCCGGGACACAATCTCAGTAGCTGTAGCTGCTCTGTGATTTCTCTCTTTAGCTAACTTCTGTAGCAGTGCTCATCAACAATGGTAGAAACACCACATGTTAAATGGAGAGCAATAAGCAACTATCGATGCTCCAGAAATGACACGGTAGGTGCAGCCCTTTCAGAGACTGTATGTAGACAGAAACAAAGACCCCTGTCATCCTAGCCTTTACACAAGTCTTTATCAAAACATACATGAGTAGCATCAGCAGCTTTAATGGAGTTAACTGAACAGGTACTTTCATTTTTATGTTTAGTGCAGGATCAGAGACTTATTTGGCATGTACACCATGTTTATGTTCCCAAAGGACTAGATTAATAGTTACGAATGACCATTTTCCTCCTGACACAGCAATTTTAAGTAATGACTTACACAGACAAATCTCTTTAAGGGATCTTCATTAAAACCTACAATTGATGCATCTCTAGTCCATAGTACACTCCTAAAGCATCTCCAATAATTTGAAACAGTTTGTCTTTGAAGCCTAGCAGTTCATACTGATGATAGTGTCCAGGTCTTACAGCAGCCCCAGTAAAATTTGAACCAGTGGAGCCAAGGCAAAAGAAAGCAATAAAACTTCTGTGTTTTTAATTTTAATTTAGTAAGAATGATTTACAATAAAAACATTAAATGTTAAATCAACCAGAAAATAACACTTGATTTACATACAAACAGGAAACAGTTAAAATAGCTAAGCCAAAGGCCTGTAATAGAAAATTAATGTTAACTGTATTTGCTGTTTACTTGAATTAATTTGGTGTTGGTTTCCATAAATATTATTTGCACAAATAAGCACTAACATTTTCCCCAAGGTAAAGTGGGCTTACATTTAATTTATGTAAACAGCTTAATGTATCCCCTTTAGGACTTTGCAATCTTTGTGCTAAACTTGTACAGATGTCTGTAATTACCCTAGCAGGACAAGTGAGCAATTCAGCACTATGAAAGAGCCTAATGAGAAATAAGCCACTTTCTGTTAGAAATATTAGGAGTAAAATGAGCTGATTAAAAAAAAAAATCTTATTAGAAATAATCATGTTAAAATTCTGATGCTTGTTTATTTTAATTAAGCTATTGGAGGAATCACTAAAAGACTATTAATTAGGAAGCTAATTTTTTTTTAATCAGAGTGCTCATCTACATGGCTACAGGGTTTGTGTAAAGGAAAGTCTTGTTTTTAAAAAATCCTAATAAACAAGGAATACTACACAAGAAACAGCTAATATGCTGTCCTGGTTTGGGCTTGGATGATAAATAGGCTTATAATAATGTACCTCCAAAGATTATACTTTTGAGACTGTGTAGAGAAATCCATGCTCTTAGGAAGATTGAAGCTTTGGTATAACTTCAAGGCAGCTGTAACTTACACTGCTGATGCTGTTCAAATGAGCACGTAGGTATATTTAAAAAAAAAAAAAAAGATCTGCATGAAATTTCTCCTTAGAAAGTGCAAAAATCCACCTCTGGTAAATATATATACATGCATCTCAATGAAACTAGACAAGGACTAGCCTACTGCAGAAAGCCCCAAAAGCTCAGTAATTGGCTGGCACCGTTGAGGTAGGGCAGGGCAGGGAACAGAGACTGACTCAATACACCAGCCCAACTCTGATGATCCAGTTGAAATCAATTAACTTGCAATTAAAAGCACCTGGTGGGAGAAAAAACTCTTCTGTACTCGTGTTCTCCCTGGGGTGTCTCCAATTAAGGAGGTATTTTAGAAAAGCAAACCATTTGTCTGTGATTCAGGATGGGTTTGTGGACTGCTATAATGGTGAATGTAGTCACTACTCCCAGGGCATATTTTTCTGAGTGTATGATACCAGTTCACCAAACATATAGATCTGAAAGAGTTTCTGGAGTCCTACTACTCCTACCTTTTGTGAGCTACTCTGCTTCTCTTCTGTTTTTTTTTTTTTTTTTTTTTTTCTGAACAGAGAATCATAGAAGTGAAAGTGTCAAGAACCTCTGCTTTTTCAGTGTTGTTGGTGACTCATTCACCTCTCCTGTTTAACAGTGGGCCAATGTTTTCCTTCTGTTTCTGCTTGCTGTTTCCATGCCTTAAGCACCCTTTCTTGTAGTTTTTGACATCTCTGGCCAATTCCAATTCAAGCTGAGCTTCTGTTTTTCTAACTGCATCTCTGCATGACCTGGCAATGTCCTCATAGTTCTCAGCAGGTATTTTTCTGCTTTTCCATCTCTGGTAAGCTTCTCTTGTGGTTTTGAGCAGACTCAGAAGCTTGTAGTTAAGACAAGGGGCTCTCTTGTTCCACCTACTTCCCTTCCCTTTAAAGGGGATGAGCTAGTTTTGTGCTTCCAGGAGACTGTTCTTGAAAAACTCCCAGCCCTCACTAGCTCCTTTATCCTGCATGGAATCTTCCCATGGAACCCCTCCCAGCTGAGGTCTGAAGGAGCTGAAGTTTGCTCTTCTAAAATCTAAAACCTTTGTCTTAGTACTAACCTTCAGTGTGCTCAGCAGGACCCCCAACTCCACAATGTTGAGTTCACTGCAACCAAGGCTATCGCTGACACATCACAAAGCAGGTTTTCTTGGTTTGTGAGTAGCAAGCCCAGCAGTGCTTCATTCCTGGTTGACACATCTAACATTTTTATGAGGAAGCAGTCCTCTACACATTCCAGAAACTTGATGATGCGTGAGTTGTTGTATTGTTCTTCCAACGAAAGTCTACACAGTTGAAGTCACCCATAGGAATCAGGTTCTGTTGACCTGAAGCTTGCTTAAGTGACCCAAATATTGCTTCATTGGCCTTATCATCTTGGTTTGGAGGTTGGTAGCGGATGCCTACTGTAAGATCCCCCTTGAAGATGACCCCTCTGATCTTGACTCAGAGGCATTCGATAAGGCTTCCAGAATCACCATACTTGACTTCACATTCAAGGTTCTCCTTAACATAGAGTCGTGGTTTGACCCCAGAGGGCAACTGAGCACCACACACATAGAGTGCAACTCCTCTACCCCTTCTTCCCTGCCTGTCTTTATGAAACAGCCTGCGGCCATCCATCCCGATCCTCCAGTCATGTGTCTTGTCCCACTATGTTTCAGTTATTCCTATGATATAGCTTTCTGACTGGGTGCAGAGCTCCACTTCCTCCTGTTTGTTCCCCAGGCTGCATGCATTGCTATACATATACTTGAGGTGGCTGGTCTTCTGGTTCACATCTTGGAAGCAGCTAAGGAACATCTGTCACTGCTCTGGCTGGCCTGGCTTATTCCCCAGTTGGTTGCAATGGTGTGAACACTACCACTTTGGACCCTGGCACCCAAGTCCTTCTGTTTAAAGCCCGTCTCACCAAGTTGGTCAGCCTGATGCCAAAGATACCCTTGCCTCTTCTAGACAGGTGGATCCCATCCCTCCCTAGCAGGCTATAGTTATTGAAGAATGTCCCATTGCCATAAAAGCCAAAGTCATCATGATGGCACCAGCCATTAAGTCAGAAGTTGATTTGCATTATATGTCTATTTCTGGCTGCACACTCTTACTGGCAAAATGGAAGAAAAGATAACTTGGGCACCAATAGTTTTCACTTGTACCCACAGGGCTTTGTAGCCTTCCTTGATTCTGTCCAGGTTCTGGCTTGCGGTGTCATATGTTCCTACATGAAGGAGTAGCAATGGATAGTAGTCTGTACTCTAGACAAGTGTGCTGGGTTTGTGTGTGGCAGGGTTTCTGGTAGCGGGAGGGGGGGATACAGCACTGGCTCCCTGTGAAGAACTTCTCTAAGATCCTCTGGCTCCAAGTTGGACCCACCTCTGGCCAGGGCTGAGCCAATCAGTGATGGTGGCTGTGTCTCTGTGATAACATATTTAAGAAGGGGAACGTGGGAGGAGGAGTGGGAGTTGTGAGGGAGACACCTATACAAGCACTGAGGTCAGTGGAAGAAAGGAGGAGGAAGAGGGGAAGGTGTGCTGGTACAGAAACTCCCCTGCAGCCCATGGTGAGAGGGCAGGTTGCGCCCCTGATGCCTGTGGAGGGCCATGGTGGAGCAGATGCCCACCTGCAGCCTGTGGAGGACACCACACATGAGCAGGTGGCTGTGTCAAAGAAGGCTGGGACTCTGTGGGAAAGCCCCACTGTTGTAGTTCGGTGCTGGGAGGATTGCAATGTGCAAGAGGTCCCACACAGGGGCAGCTCAGGTAGAGTTGCAGCCTGTGGGAGGGACTCACACTGAAGCAGTTTGGGAAGAGCTGCAGCCTGTGGGAGGAACACATGCAGGAGAAAGTTAATGGAAGACTGTCAACTGTGAGAGGCATGTCACAATGGAGTGGGGGAAGAATGTGAGAAGTCTTCCCCCTGAGGAGGAAGGACTCTGGGACTGACCACACACCCCATCCCCTGCCCCCTGTGCTGCCAGAGGGGAAGAGGTAGAGAAATCGGGATCGAAGCTGAGCCAAGGAAGAAGAGAGGGGTGGGGGGAAGGTGTTTTTAAGATGTGGTAATGCTTCTCACGGTCCTACTCTGATTGTTAAATTAAGTGGTGGTGGTAGTTGAATTAAACTGTTCTTTTTCTTCTCCTAACGAGTCTGTCTTTTGCCAGTGACCACAATGGGTGAGTCATCCCTTCCTGTCCTTATCTGGATTCCAAGCCTTTTGCTTCATTTTCTCCTTCCTATTCCTGAGGGGGAAGGGATGAGCAAGCGGCTGTGGGGTGCTCAGTTGCCCTCTGGGCTCAAACCAGGACAAGCTGTGGCACATTCTCAGCAACATCTCGGACCTCAGCTCTGGAAGGCAGCATGACTCTTGTGATTCCCTGTCAGGATGGCAGAGAGGTGCCTCAGTGCCCTTTAACAGTCACCCACTACGAGCACCCATCGCTTCCTTTTGTGGTATCCACTGCGTGCTGCTCTACAGTTTCTCCTTTCAGACCTTGCTTGTGGGTGTCTACAACTGTTAAAGCTTCATATCTGTTTTTTGGTTGTAATGCTGGAGGGTGGGGACTGAAGTAGCATCCTGCTTTTGTGGGTCACCAGGGCCCAAGGTGCCTCATCCTCTGTGGTGTCTGCCACCCCATCTCGGCCCCTCTGACACTGCGCAGCTTTTTAACCGTTTCCTGCAACTCGGCCACCTGATGCAACAGATCATCGGCCTGTGCACGTCTTTTGCAGGTACTTCCCTTCCCCCAGGAGAAAGCTCCAGACACTCTTTGCAACCTACCATCTGTAGTGAAGTCTCCTTCCTTACCAGCTCCAGCTGGGTGGACACGTCGGATATCCCGGGGGCTTTCTTTGCAGAAACCCCGGCTCTAACTCTGCGGTGAGCGTGCCCCATGTCGGCAGAGGCCTCTTGCCCTGCTGAGGTGACGACCCGCCCCACGCCGCGCGCGCTCCCTCGGCCGCTCTCTGTCGGCGCGGGGCGGCCCCCCCCCGCCCCGGCAACGCCGAGGCCCAGCCCGCGTCTGCCGGCCGGCCCCGCCGCGGCGGCCCGGCCCTCTCCCCGCCTCAGGAACCCCCCCGGGGCGCCGAGACCTGCCGCCTCCCCGCCGAGAGCGAACCGCTACCGGCACCTGGCTCTGTGGGGGCTGTCGCACCCGCTCCTGCCGAGGGTTGTTCGTTCCTTGTCGAAGCGTGAGAGAGTCGCCACTGGGAGTTAAGCGCTAGCGCAGCAGGGGCGAAGGAGCAAGTTTACACTTCCAGCGCTAAATAGCCTGATTAATTTTCAGTGATCAGATTCTCTACTGGTATTTAAGGTCTGGTACCTGCTCTTCACTACGGAGTTGGCAACCTTTTCCTGTACTATGGGCCTGCATTTCCATTGCAAATCCTGCAAACAATGGGGTTATTCTGCAAGATCGCCGCTGTGTAGTAATTGCAAACACCTAGAGAGTTTCTGTCGCTGTCACTGCCACATTTTTAACCCTCGGTAGTCACGGTTCCAGACGTGGCTCAGCTGTTTTTCATATCCTGCTCACAGCTTGATTGTGAGGTGACAGAACCATGGTTTGCAACGGAGTCGGTTCATGACTGTATTTGCTTTTGGATACGTTACGTGAACATAAGCCCATGATTAACATGTTCACCCGTATTTCATGGCTGTGACTATTACCACATGGATAGAGCAAGCTAGGATTGGGACAGTGCTGACTTTTAGTACTGATAAACTTGTATGTTGTAGTCAGTTGACCACTGTGTACAGCAAACCAGAAATTTGAAGCTGTAGATCCAGGGTTTACGTTTAGACAGAATTAAAACTGGTTAATTTTGTTGAAATGGGCTCATGCGTTTTTTTTTTTTTTTTATTTCAATTTATCCTCTGCCTTTCTAGCCAGAACAGAAGGTATTTCTCAGCCCCCTGTGCTCTACTGAATGTAGGAGAGGACCAAATGGTACACTCAAATCAAATGATACTGGCAAAACTTTGAACACAGATATTTCAGCCATGCTCTAAGTATAGTGCAATGCTGTGGTGGTGCTCATGTACTAGATATAGCTCCATTTATACATCTCTATTTCTTTGAGAGAAAACAATGAGTAATTATTACTAAGCATATACAACAATTACATCCTTAGGTGCTTTATAAACTATGTGGAAAATATAGGAGTTTGATGGACAAATTCTAGTGAATCAAAGGTCTTTCCCAACCCCAGAACAGAAAGGAAACTTATCAAGTACTTATTTTATTTTAAACTCTGAAATATTTTCAGTTTTGAAATTAAAAAACAAAATCAAGAAAACCAAAAACCAAACCCTGAAAATCCATCCCATTAAACATATCTGAATTCTGATGTAAAATACTTGGGAAAGACTTCTGCTGATTTCTTCCATAGCTTCATTTTATCATATAGCCGGTGATTAATTAAGGAATATGCAGCTATTTGGCAGCTAGAAACTTGTGGTGTTCACAGCCTGGTTTACATACCCGACTCCATGTGCAGTCACTGTAATATACCACAACGATTCTTTTTTGAGGTCCAAACTCACTGTTGGCTTAAATGACCACAGACCTGTTGAAGTAGCTGCAAGTGATGTTGTTTTTATCAGCAATTAATTTGGCCTTGCAATCACTGAAGTCTTCAGGATCATGAGCTTTATTTCTTGGTCACAAATGGAGCAAAACTGCACATCCCAATTGAACATCTTTCTTTGACCTGCTCTGATTCTGTCCCCCTGTTCTTCTTAAATAATCACTGTAATGGAAGCAGAGCTGCTCTGGAGTAATAAATTATAAATGGTGTTCTTCAGCCTGCTTACTGGGATGTGATAGTATACATAATTTAATATAGTTTTCATATATGACTATGGAACAAAGAACCAGCAGTGGTTCAGAATAACCCATATCTCTGTAAACTTTTGAGGGCAGTGGAAAGATAATGCCACACACTCTTTCTCTGAAGGCCAAGGTAAGACTGCAGAGCAATAAAACCTCTGGCTGTGTGAAAAGAGCTGCTCTCTAAGTAGAAATGGGGTAGCTGAAAGACCCAGATGGAGGACTCCTGCTGCAGCATCTGAAGAGAGCAGCCTGCGGGGCATAAGCAGGTCAGGTTCCCTGGATAACACCCAGAAAGCCTGTTTGTTCCCGAGTCCTGAATCTCCAGATGATGTTGTTCCTGCTGACAAAACAGTGGGGTGGTGAGGAGAAGGCTGGCTGCTCACTGCTAGCCTGAGCGGCAGGCTCTTGCTGGAAACATGGAGGTTGCAAAGATGCTGGGAAAACATGTTTGATACTCAGATTTTTGTATCCTGGGGTCTAATCTGAGAACAGAGAAGCTGAATTAAAGAGCAAAAGGATGATGCTTGAGTGATGTGCTCTGAGACTGGAAAAGAGGGAAAAAAAAATAGGAGAAACCTGTAAATATGATGGAGACAGTTCTGCAAGTCAAACCTGGGACGGGTTATGTGGTTCTGCAGGATACGGTGGGGATCTGCCTGCTTCTGCTGGCCAGGAATGGGATTTCAGCTGCAACAGGGCTGTGCCACTCTGCAGGGTCTCCTGAACTGAAGCTGCCTGTGTGTCTGCTCTCAACTCATCTTCGCTTTTGTTAACTGATTCTCAATATGCTCATAGCAATGCTTTGGTTAAAATAAACCAGTGATTTAATTATTGGTTTAACTTCTAACTTACTCCAGCAATGTATTCAGTATTACAAGGACTAGTCCTGTTAAGCAAAGCAAAATAAGCTTTAGCCTGAACATTAGTCTAGCTACAGTGAGTTACCATATAAAGGCATAGTTCTTAAACGTGCCCAGCTCTTCCACTTGATTCATATTTCAGCATAGTATCACACCATAGATTCAACAAACATAGATCATTTTAAATGGACAGCTATGTACAAAACTATGATACAGTGTTATTACAAAACTTGAGAAATAAAGCTCTGAATTTTGAAAACACAATACTGCACATTCCCAGTTTTAAAGCAAAAATAACATGAATCCACACGTATTGCAGCTTGAACACAAAGATTTTTGAGTGCAAGCAGCTGACAATGCCATTCAAGCCCAGAAATTCACTAAAGGATGAGCTGAAAATGCGTCCAATAGAGCACTTTGGAAAGCCTTTTCCTGTTGCTTTAATAAGAAATTTCTCCAAAAGCTGATGGACGCATCTGTGCATGTCAGAAGACTACTGCAAGACTACTGACGTGCTTCAACTTAATTGCACATAAGCGTCATTTAGGAACCAGACACTGTTTATATGGCCATAGGTTTACTAAAATACATACTTTAAATGTATTTATTTTTTACTTTTTACTTTTTTTTTTTTTTTTTCCCCTGTAACTGATTTCCTTTGCTTTAAATGATTGAGAGTAAAAATACATTTGTCTGATCCGGGTCTTGGACTTGGTCCAACATAAATCGTCAGTGGGCGATGGGAAGAGGGAGTTAACACGCTTCCACCTGTGATGGTACAGCCACTGCTTAATTTATACCCTTAATTTAGTTGAGGCACTGCTATTTTTAAAATTTCTCCAAGGGCTGAACACTGCAGTCCTTTCTTGGGCCACACTCAGCTGTCATTTCAAGAGGAGTTTGGCCTAAGAGCAGGTTGAAAGACTTGGCTTCCAGGACAGCGGACGAGAGGTCTGACCCTTTCACGCCGCCGGGCGCAGATCCGGTCCCTGTCCCCATGGGCCCCCGGCATAAGGCACGGGCCGAGGGGGCCGAAGTCTCCGGGGGGGCTCTGTGGGTCTTGGAGAGGGGAGTGGAAGGCTGCGCGAGGAGAAGCGGCGTGTCCTGGTGGGGCAGAGGTGGCCGTGGTGGTGGTTTGGCAATGCAGAGCCCAGCTTCTGGGAAGCTGGCAGCACTCTGGGGACGCGAGAGCATTTCACTGGGTCTCTGTTATTTCTTCTGCCTTGCCGTGACACCTGCAGGAAGAGGGAGGAATGCAAATTATTTACAGCTATAAAATGAGAGCAGTGTGGTTTTGCATGTGTGTGGACATGTATGTGTTCGGGTGCTACTAGGGAAACCAGTTTCAGATAACCTAAAACCAGGTAGAGCTACATCTTTATGCATTTAATAAAAAACTCATGTTTCCAGAACTGATCCTGATGTTCAAGAGTTTGGGCAACTTTGCTTTTGAGCTGGGCACTAGCTCAGTCCAACAACATGAGTCGTGTGTTTTACAGGCAGAATATTGGAATATATTTCTAGATATTAAATTGCTGAATTTAGAAAATCTAGAGGATTTAGCAGGACTGTCAGAAGGATGGGGTGGCACACTGGCATTTTTAAGAGCCTGTCTCACTCCATAAGCAAAGAAAATACCATTTCTAATGAACAGACATGAAGGCAAAGACCATATAGGAAGATGTGCATTAGCTTGATTACATTCTTGTGGTCCATGAGAAAACTGCCCACAGACAACACTGAGTCTGCAGAAGAGGAGTTGAAGCACCTGTTACTCTAGAATTAAAGGAAAACGATTTACAAAACAAAACAAAAAACCCCAAACAAACAAACAAACAAAAACCAACCAAACAAAACAAAAAAAAAAAACGAAACAAACCAAAGGAAAGCCTTCACTTTCAAACCCTCCTGACTCTTTGCAGGGGGAGGCTGATGTTCCCCCTCCTGTGCCCTTCTTCCCTCCTCACTAGGCTGTGGTCTTCGAGCACTGGCCTATGCTCCCAGTTTGGTTTGGCCTTTTATTTTCTAAGGAATAAATCAAGTAAATTTGTGAGCAGGGAAATTGCCAAAGCCTGGCTGCTTATGGACTTGTGCTTTCAAAAATTCTGTTTCCCCTAACCTTTCCAAGTGACTCAAAGATGGGAGGAGAGGAAAAAGGGAGCTGCACAAACAGACGTGAACATTTGTCTGTAGCAGTTCTC